CTAATTAGCACAACAGTTAAAAAAAACTTGGGTGTTTGCAGGTGTTTGGTCATAAATCGGTCAAATAAGAACTTTGGCCTGATTAGATGACCCAAAAAGAAACAATTTAAACATTTCGGCCAAGAGGCCAAGAGGAGCCTTGCTATATGAACTGTGGACCAAAGTGGTGTTTCACCTCAACAGTAAGGAATCCAATGTAGGGTTAAGTCCCCATCATGTGTAGGCAACCTTTGCAACCCTTTGGTTTAGATATTTTACCTTTAAGATTAAAGCTTCATGTTGCTTTGCAAGTTTCCTAAATCCAAACTCAAGAGCAAAATACAATCACCTGCTTCAGAATTGATGAACAGATTTATTTTCATTTATCCAATTTTGTAGCACTAAAAGAAGAAGAGAATATTGTCCTACCTTCTTATTTGATCATTCAACTCATATGAATGATATGTATCTAAAATCGTAAGTGCAAAACAAATGAGATGTACTGATTTTGATCTGGTTTGTTAGTTGAAACAGAGAACAATCCATTTAAATTAGCAACAGTCAGACATTCAAGTTGGTACAGGAAACATTCAGTTTACAACCTCATTCCCCCTTCTCACTGCCCAGTTTTTCAAACAAGGACAACAGGATAACAACAGTACAAGTTTAGAAGAACTAATGAAGGGATCGTATCAGGAGTGAAACTCATCAGCTCAGCAGTTTTGATACAAGAATGTCTAGAATACAGTTTTGCAGATTACAGAGTAGGTCTTTCATTATCTGATTTAAAACCCCAAAAAATAAACATGAGAAACCCAAACACTGTGATCCATGACCACACCAGCTAAAACAAACACAGGGATCAGTGGAGACTCAGACACCACGAAAGTGCTTCCCATTGGCACACACACACACACATACACAATCTGTAGACGTCAGTATACTTCTGTATAGACATAAAACCTCGATTTTAAATGGAAACGTAGCAGTGTGGATGTAGCCTGAAAAGTTAAGGAGGGAATTGTCTCTTTAGTTGAAAGGCTGACAACTCATCTAAAACGTGACAAGGGGCCCCAAACCCACACTGCTTTGTAGGGGGGGGGTTTGCAAGCAAAACCGAAACCACTGGGTTAATAATACATTATATTTGCTAAGCTTATTATAGCTTATATTTTCTATGTAACAACTGAAGAGTACAAACTATCGTAAAACGGAAATATTAAAGTATAAGAAAAAGTACCTAAACATTTTACTTTAGTACTTGAGTAAGTGTTTACTGTTTGTAAATTGTTTATAGAGGAAAAGCATTGTAGTATTGTAATGTGTCATCTAAGGACCTCCCTGTCACTTTCATCAATATTACAATTTATTAATTACTATATAATACAATTTATTTTAGTGTTCAACTGCCTTAACCAACAAACATGTTCTTATTGTTCTATATATAAATATATAAATATCTCAGTCAGTATCATTCCATGCTTGTGTCAGCTTCCTGCCGTCTCGTTTTTTTTGGTGTTAGAGCAATAACGAGAAGGGCCTGTGTGCTCAGCATACTTGCGCAGCATGTAATTAACTATAACAGGGGCCTTAACCTTACATGCCCCTTTTTTTCAAAGTGTAAGGATATTTCTTCAAACACATAGCTCTGTGAGTTTTACTGGATGTGATTGGTTGTCCCAGGATGTTCCAGTGTATAAATGGCATCCATGTTAGAGATGAAGGAGATTACTTTCTATCCCTGAGGAGACACATCTTCAGCTTTTCTCTGCCCCAGGAAAAAAGGTGAGATGGACTTTTCATAGGGAAACAATTTTACACCGTGTTAAAAACATATTCCTGCTGATCATATAGGTCTTGAAGGCAATTATCTTCGATTAATTTAATTTCAGAAACACTTTCTCTTATTTAACAAAGGAAATGAAGATCGTTCTTGTACATAACATGATGTGTTTTTTTTGTAGGAACAATCATGATGAAGCTGTTGGTGCTCACGGTGTGCCTGCTGGTCACTACCTTGGCTGCTCCTGTGAGTCTTTCCTAAACATGATTTAAACGTGTCATTTAGTCTGCCCTTTTCAAGCTTTTAAACACTGTTTTGCTTTAGAAAAAACAGCATAAAGTCATTGTTGTGTCCTCTTTTCTCTTGCTTGGTTTGCAGGTTGTGGAGAGTGACAGCTATGAAGAAAAAGTAAGACTTTTGCTTTTCTGTGAGGTTTCTGTGTATGTGTGCCCTGGCAAGTGATACCATGTTTTAGTCATGTCATCAGATGTATAGTATGGTAGGTGTCTGACAGGGAGGGAATAATTGGCTTAAGTGCAGCACATGTCTAGAGATGTCTGGTATTTCCTCAGCAAGTTGCAGCACATGCTAATGAGGCCCTGAGGTGGATGGAGATGTACAGGCTGTACCAGCAGCAGGTAGTGGGGGCTCCTTGTAGTTTCACAACAAAAAAAAGAAATATAAATTAATTAGTTTGGCATCAATCATTAATTATAATCATTATTCTGTATTTTTTCAGGGAGTAGTTGGAAACCCCTTCCTGCCTGCTGCTGATGCTCCTGTAAGTTTTGTTAGACTCCAACATGACTTTAGTTTTAGATTTCATATGAAAACTTGAACATAAACTAAAGTCTGGCATTATTACTGAAGCTTGGCCGTAACTTATTCATTAATTATTCATTCGTTTACGTTTAGCCGACTGCGGCAGCAGTGGTAAACTCACATACGGCACTGCAACATCTAAAATGTCACAATTCAACATGCTGTTTGAGTTAAACGTGTTATGTTCATGTAGGGCGATGCTGCACCAGCCCAGTCTGCTGATGTCCCCCCTCCTGCTGCCCAAGCTGTTGAAGACACATCAGAGGAGACAGAGGTGAGCAGACATTCCGATACATGCCGAACCAAACTATCATTTATTTTATTATTTGTACCTGTGCTGCTTTTCCTGTTGATTGCATGATGTGCCCTGTAAAAAGAAAGGCATCAGATTATGCTCTGTTGGTCAGTTGGGAAAAAAAATCAGCAAAATAATCAAGACAGGAGGTGAATCTTTTGCCACTTGAGTGTTTCTCTTTTATGCTTGGGGAAACATAATACTGACAGTGGCATCTTTCTTCAGACCATCCCTGCTTGGTAAATGTCCACATCTTCCCAACTCTGCGCCACCAGTTTGTACACAAGCTTTCTGTTAAAGCTGTGTAAAGTCAATTAGTTTCAACTCTAAAGTCATTGTCTGTCTATATCCTTGTGACAGGGTGGCAATCCTGCCCCCAAAGATGCAGCACCTGATGCTCCTGCCATCCCCCTAAACTCTGATGAGGTAGAGGAGGCCGAGGAGGCCGAGGAGGTCGAGGCAGCTGAGGCTGAACCAGCTGTGGTGGAAGAAGCACCGGCAGACCCCGCAGCAGCTGTCGAGCCAGCCGTGGTTGACGTCCCAGTAGATGCTGCACCAGCTGAAGCTGCTGCTGTGGATGTGTCTCCTGTTGATGTGGTTCCAGTTGACGTGGTTCCCGTTGATGTGGTTTCAGTTGATGTGGTTCCAGTTGACGTGGTTCCCATTGATGTTGCCCCTGCAGCCCCTGAGGTGGCTGTCGATGCGGCTGCCGCAGCTGATGTCCCTGCCGCTGTTTATGTCCCTGCCGCTGTTGATGTCCCTGCCGCTGTTGATGTCCCTGCCGCTGTTGATGTCCCTGCCGCTGTTGATGTCCCTGCTGCTGTTGATGTCCCTGCTGCTGTTGATGCCGGTGTTGCTGATGCCAGTGCTGCCCCACCGGCAGCTGAAGTTGACACAGCTGGAGTGGCAGCAGATCCTGCTGCAGTGTAGTTCTCTTCCTCTTATCCCCAACCTCCTCTGTTAGCAGTTACAGCAATAGCTGGAAAACAGCATGTGTATGTAGCGCAAAAGTATGACAAAGCTGTGGCATATTGATTAGACAATGAACAACAAGTGAAGTGTGTTTTTAGTTCAGAATTAAAACATTTTGTTGTGTTCTTTTTTCTGTCTTTAATTAAAATACTTTTTACGTTTCTGTACTTGAAATTCAGCTGTGATCGATTAGTCACACATGATAAAAATGTTTATCTGGCCACAGTAGGAAAAGAAGATGCATTACTTATAACATTAACTTTTCTATTCATTGTCCCAGAAAGTGTACCAGGACCCTGAAACTGAAGCATCTAAATGGAATTCAGCCATCATGAATTTTAATATTTTCACTTGTGCTTTTCCTCACATCAAAATGTATTCTGTGAAAAGACCTATGAAATAAAAGCAAAGATGCCATAATAACATGGGATATAAAACTAGCTGGTGACAAGTCCATTATTTTGCCTTTCCTTTCACTCAGCTGCCACCATCAACAAAAATGCATGATGCCATCTAAAACAGTGAGTCATGTTGTGATAAAACTGCAAACATCAGCCAACAGGGAGTGCTACTGAACCACAGGAAGTCTATAGTACCCAGGAGAGGAGGATTTGTTGTTAGCATGCAGCACTCAACACTGGTTCAGATTTAATTTCACTCTCATGGTTCTTATTCATGTAAAAGGAACCAGAGCCACCTGATCTGAAATCTGTAATGCTCGTCACAATCTAATAGGATCAGAGGTGGATATGGCTGAGGGTGCTGACTGAGCAGGAGATGCTAGTGTGTGTGTGTGTGTATGTGTGTGTGTGTATGTGTGTGTGCGAGCAAGCAGACTAAATCCTCTGCCGTTACACAAATGGTCAGGAAAGTGATAGCTTGTCATAGATTTAAAAAAAAGAAAAGAGGAGTCAACAGAAAATGTTTTTTTACTGTTCTGGATCTTTGCCAACAGATTAACTGAAGGTTTTCCAAACTTCATTTCAACAAATCTCATCTCCCACTGGAGTGGACAAATAAGGAGGATGAGTGACTCTGCCTCTCCTCTTCTCAGCCAACTCTAATCCACAAATCCTTATCAGGGTCACTGAGACTCTGTGACATAGTTAGTTAGACTCAATGATTATAGGTGACACTTGTCTAGCTGCACTTTGATATTATTTAAATTATAAACTAATGATTAATACAATAAATCTGCTGTTGCTGTGAGTGGCCAGTTGACAGTCCTCAAAACAACTAAGAGGATAAAAGGAAAATGGACTTTACATTACATTAACAAGGGAAAAAGGTAAGTTGAATAAAACTGAGTCATCACTACAATTTGGGAAATATTTCTGTAGCTGTTTGTACAACCACCTTAAATGTCACATAATGTTTTTCTCCTTTCACTTGATGCAATTCTGCTGGTTTTGGACTGCAAATGCAGTGATGGATGCATTCACTTAAGTTCTAATGATTTCTGGTCTTTTTCAAACAGCCCTCGATTTGTCAAGTCAGTTTATTTATTCAGCACATTTAAAAACAACCCAAAGTGCTTTCCCATCGGGGCAGATGGGTTAAGATCTGCCTCAATACAGTTTTACATAATTAAAGAAGTAAAAGGTGCAACAACAAAAAAAAATGATAGAAAGATACAATAAAATAGGATGTTAAGAAATAGGAATAAAACCAACATGTCACACAAACGTTTGCAGTATCTAAGATATCTGACCAGAGAGAATATTGCAGTATAGGTGTATAATCACAGGACTTATATGGAGTGATAAATATACAGCATAAAGTAGAAACACAATTTTGATTCTTGTGTAATCTATTCTTAAACTTTTGATTCTAACAATTCATCAAAGCAATAGAGAATCGAATACATGTATCTAGGGCTGCATCTCCTGCAGATTCGTTTTTGGATTGTCTGGTCTATAAATAGCCATGAACATAGTCAAAACTCTCCATTACAAGTTTTTAGAGACCAAGGTGACTTCCTGAAATGTCTTGTTCTGTTTAACCGTTTAACAGTATGAAACTCAAAGATATTGAATTTACTGTCATAGAACACAAGTGAGATGCCGGTAGCAGTTCCTCTTTTGCAATTTTTACTTTATAATTACTTAAATTCTATAAAGTCGTTGCTGACAAATATTTTGTCAATTGAATAATCAAATAATGGACACATAGTTTCAGCTGTACGTAATTTGAGGGTCTATTATGCTTATTGTGGACAGACACATTTATATGTAAGAGAATTTAATCTCTAGTCACGTCATCCGTACACAAAATCTCTCCTTGGGATTTCTTTGTCCAGGGTAAACAGATCTGCAGCCATGACAACTTCAACCCCCCTTCATTACCTCACTGTGCCACCTCACACTGTATCACAACTCTCCACAGACAGTGAAGAGTCCAGCGAGGATGACCTGTAAGCAAAGACACATTTAAAACTATTCAGACAAAGAGCTTCTATTACAATAATGAGGAAGTAAGACAGTCAATTAACTTCATGTGTAACGTGCTGTGTTTTTTTCCCAGAAGTGTGTCTGAATCAAATCCTCATTGCCTGCTCAATATGAATAACAACAATGACAAAGAGTAAGTGTGATTATGGAGTCACCAAGAGATGAGTGAATACACTGTTTCTCTTTGATGTAACTTAAAAGTCATTTCAGAAAGGCCAATTAAATGTGTTCATGCATTATTTTCCAGGGAGAACAAGAAAAAAAGGAGAAAGGAGAAAAAAGAGAAGAAAGCGTAATTGTGTTATATTATCGATCTTTAAGCAAATGTTTCTTTTAAAAAAACAAAACAGCTTTACAGTATGCACAGTATGCTCTAATGTATTCATGTGTGTTACAGAAAGAAGGATATGGAGAAGAAGGAAAAGGAAGAAAGGGAGGCTAAGGAAAAAGAAGAGAGGGAAAAGGAAAAGGAAAAGGAAAAAGAGAAAGAAAAGCAAAAGGAAATGGACAAAGACAAGTAAGTGCATCATTCAGAGTGACTTCCTCTGGGCAACTTTCTCACTTTCATATATTTAATGTACACTTTCTATCTCTCTTTCTATAGGCCCAAAGAATTATTTGTCATTAATCCTGCTGGGAATTTGTATTACAACTGGTTGTTCATCATCACACTACCAGTCATGTATAACTGGACCATGATCATAGCCAGGTGAGTTCTATGAATCAGTGATTCTTTTTAAACACTGCAATTTCCCTGTGGGTCAAAGAGTCACACGATTCAATTCAGCTCAGTCAAGTGTTAAGTCATATACTCCAGCAGTTATCATTGCAATTCAAAAGCTGGAGGAAAGTTCTTTGATTTAATGCGAATACACTGCAATAATGAATGCTGTAGTTTGCTTTGAGACTAGTGAGCTTGGCACCATATCAGCTGCAGCAGTGGGACGTAGAGGTGAAATTTACAAAACACACTCACTGCGGATGTTTTCTTCTCCTGCAAACAGGGCTTGCTTTGAGGAGCTTCAGCATGACTACATCATTTGCTGGGTTATTCTGGACTACACTTCAGACATAATCTACCTGGCTGATATGTTCTTCAGGGCCAGAACAGGTGAACAGCTGACCCAAGCCTCCGAATCAAAATCTATTAAACGATAAGTTCACAGCATTTTCCAAGTCCGTCTTAAAATACCCAAATTTCCATCGATGAAATTATTGGCTGCTCCCAATGATGATAATGCATGTGAAGTTCAAGTTCAAATGTATTGCCAGATACATTAAAAAGTACAGTTGTAAATTCAAATGCAATGAAATGCTTCTGCTCTGGCTCTTTCCTACCTTAAAAACAGAATCAACACCAAAATCCACAGTCCTCTTTCTGTGCAAAAAAGTCTGAGTTGGACAAATCTAGTGGGTATACAAAATATCCTCTTTGTGTTATTGTCCCACTGTAGCTCCACAAGGAAACACTGTCAGGGGAAACACAAAGAAGACCTTTTTACTAAAAAGACTGCAACTCAGAAAGATATCCAATTAATTAATTTTGGACTAATTTGGACTGCTGAAGTCTCATATTAGCTTCTGCTGAACTTGAAAATGCATTTTTGCATTCTGAATTTTGTCAGCCCATCGCTTACACTGTAATTGTGTTAGAAAGAGATTATGTAAGTACGGACAGGAACATTGATTACAGCGACAGAACTGTTTCATTAGCAAGAACCGCACCAATAAATTAACTTAATTTAAATGTACATATGGGCATGTAGGTTTTAAATTAAGGTAGTGTGAACTAAACTTCTATTTTAAACACATCAGATAAAAAAATATTTATCCTTCCTGAACATAATGTGCCATTGTTTCACAAAGAGCAGAAAAAGACTAATTACAATGTGAGAGCAATTCTTTGCAAATTTATGTAAATGATGTGCAGATTTGTAACACTAAATTGCATGAGTATTGGCGTTCCTTTGTGTATGCCTGAATCATCACAGATGCAGCCAACTGTTTCTAAACAGTTTCTCATTTTGTTTCTCATTTTGCAATAATAGGGAATACTATTATAAAATACTTTTGTCTCTCTGCCTTCACTCATGAAGAAAAAACTTGAACATATTGTGTCTTTCAACCTTCTACCTCTTTGAATGCAGGTTACCTTGAGCAAGGCCTGATGGTGAAAGATAAGAAACTGCTACTTGATCGCTACATCGAAAGCTTCCAGTTTCGTCTCGATTTTATCTCCATGCTGCCCACTGACGTCCTCTATTTGTTCCTCGGCCTCGACTACCCGGAGATCCGCATCAACAAGCTGCTGAGAATCGGCCGCATGATGGAGTTCTTCACGAGGACAGAAACTAAAACCAACTACCCCAACATCTTCCGCATCGGAAACTTGATCATGTACATCCTCATTATCATCCACTGGAATGCTTGCTTCTACTTCTCTTTCTCCAAATTCATTGGTTTTGGTGCTGACGACTGGGTTTACCCGGCTCTGGATGATCCTGACAAGCCTGCATTTGGGGAGTTCGGCAGGAAGTATTCTTTCAGCCTTTACTGGTCCACACTGACCCTGACTACCATTGGGGAAACGCCACCACCAGCCCTGGACTCAGAATTTATCTTCCATGTGATTGACTTTTTAGTGGGGGTCTTGATCTTTGCCACAATTGTAGGAAACATCGCCACCATGATCTCCAATATGAATGCTGCCCAAGCTCAGTTCCAGTCCCGGATTGATAACATCAAGCAGTACATGCAGGTAGACCTCTTTTTTTCACTTAAAAAATTGGAACAAAAATGATTAAAACAATCTGTTCTTTGAATACATGTTGAACATTTGTGTTTTCCTTCTGTTCACAGGTCCGAAAGGTTGACAAGGATCTTGAGTTGCGAGTCATCAAGTGGTTTGACTATCTGTGGAATAACGGCAAAGCACAGGACGAAAGAGAGGTTCTGCGGTATCTTCCAGACAAGCTTAAAGCTGAGATCGCCATCCAAGTCCACATGGACACGCTCAGGAAAGTTCGTATTTTTGCAGACTGTGAGGCAGGCCTGCTGATCGAGTTGGTACTCAAGCTGCAGCCACAGGTGTTCAGTCCCGGAGACTACATCTGCAAAAAGGGCGATATCGGCCGTGAGATGTACATCATCAAAGATGGAAAACTTGCAGTCGTTGCTGATGATGGCGTCACACAGTTTGTTGTGTTGGGAAGCGGCAGCTATTTTGGTGAGATCAGTATTCTTAGTATTAAAGGCAGCAAAGCAGGCAACCGGCGAACTGCAAACATCCGCAGCATCGGATACTCAGACCTCTTCTGCCTGTCCAAGGATGACCTGATGGAGTCACTGTTGGAGTATCCGGATGCCAAAGGCATGCTAGAGGACAAAGGGCGGGAGATCCTGATGAAAGATAATCTGATAGATTTGGACCCAGCTAACATCATGCCTGAGGCCAAGGAGCTGGAAGAGAACGTCAACAAATTGTACAGCACGATGGATCTGATGCAATTCAAGCTGAAGAAGATTCTGGGAAATTACAAGAACACTGACAAGGCTCTGAGACATCGCATCGCAGATCTGGAGCACCTAATGGGAGAGGAGGTGGAAGATGAGGATGAGGAGGAAGAAGAGATGAAAAAGGAAGAGAAAGAGGTGGAAGGGGAGAAAAAGGAAGAAGAGGAAAAAAGCGAGGAGATAAAGGAAGACAAAGAAGAAGGTGAAGAGGAAGAGAAGGAAGACGAAAAAGATGAGGAAGCAAAAGACAAAGAAGGAAAGGGTGAAAAGGCAAAAGAAGAGGGGAAAAAATGAACCCATAGTTTCTGTAAAACATGAAGCACTTTTTCTAGAATCATTTCCACAGAGAAATCTTACTGGACTTTATTAAATGACTCACAGAAACACTGTAAAAGACAAAAGAAATAAGAAACACTAGAGACTGGCTGATTTACCGACTGGAACTTGTCTTAAAAAGGTATTGCCATTGTATATAATAAAATGAACAACAGTAATTCAATGGACACATTTTGCCAAAAACAATAATGATATTCAATTCAAATAAAATATTGGCTTTAGTTGTCCTATATATTGTGATTTCCATGACTAGGTCCAGAGCTCACTCTGTCCTTCACTTTCTGCTCCTGTGTTTGACATTCCTGTACTGATCGCTTGCGTTTGAATACACTGTCCTTCAGCCTGCTTTAGAAGAGCTAGACTGGAAAGATCAAGCTCTAGGATTGTTATCAAGAGAAACCTACAAACTTTTAACGAATAGGTTTTTCTCAATGACCTCGTTGCACATCTCAAAATCTCAGGGTTTAAAAGATAGATCAAGCCGCTGCTCCCCCATAGAATTATCAATGATGTTCAAGGCCAGGGACAAAGCGTGGGCTCCAGCGAGGTGTAAAGAATGTGCATCCTCCTTGAGAAAAAGCAAAACCCATTCATCACATAGAATTAATCTCTAGCTCTTTTACAAGCCTGTAAACATTTTGGAAAGCAACAAATGTAAAGAAAAACAAATCCTCTATATCTATTCCCTCTTGTGTTACTTTTAATGTTTTAACACACATTTTGCTGCTGCTTGGAATCAGTTTGATCTGTCCTTCATAGTAAGCATTTGGCTCAGGTTACCTCCTAAAACCGTACCTCCCAGTTCACCCTACAGGCCTTCACTTCCTCTGCTGTTAGGGACGCCTTTCAAGCTATCGATTATAAGAAAGCAATAACCAGACCCTTATTTTTTAAAGCTCTGTGTCCCATTTAAGGCAGAACAAATTACATATCTCTTAAATCTCTCCATTTCTACTGGTGTTATCCAGTGTCAAAGGACACTGTCAAAGGACGTTCCACAAGGTTCAATATTGGGTCCTGTCTTATTTACAATTTATATTAACAGCATTACATCTGTTATAATAAATTGTAAATATCCATCTTGATGTGGATGTGTTCTGTATTGCTTTGCTTATAATGCATTCAAGCCTTTGGCACATTGCTAGATGCACTTTTTAATTTGAAATGATTTCCTCAATACAAACAAGACTAAATATGCTATCAACATACTTGTCAGCAGGCTCCGACAAAAATTGGATACTTCAACAGAATCAAAGCACATTTTCCTATGCTCATTAGGAAGTGGATAATTGAGGGCATCTTCTTGTCCGTCTTGGATTATGGTGATGTTATCTATGGACACGCCTCCCATAGATTCAGTTTATCACTCCACTCTAAGATTTATTATCAGGGATGTTTATTCTACTCATCATTGCATCTTGAATGAAAAGGTTGAATGGGCATTTCTAACAGTAAGACGTGACAGAGACTTGTATCTATTTATATATAAAGCCTGTAATGGCAACTTGCCATCATGTATCACTTCCTTATTCAATTGGTCCGATAGTCATTGTTTGACTCGTTGTAGTGAGTGGCGAAACTAAATTTGGGGAAACTGGTTTTAGTTTCTATGCTGCACATTTTATACATTTTACAACACACATTAAAACTTAACACAATACCTATAGATACATTTTAAACCATAATTACAAACTAGGCTGACCGTCTCGTTGTTTGTTGTCTTGCTAATTTATTTATTTATTTGTTATTGTTTGTGTATTTATTCTGCATTTATTCTGTACTTTACTTTGGACATCATTGAAAATGAAGGGCATGCCCTCAATGATTCCTCTAAATTTCAATAAAGGTTCAGATATAAAAAAAACAACTATATTCCCAACTCTGCAGTATACACGTTTGTCCACACGAGGGCAGTAAGTAGCAATGATTTACAGGTAATCACGTGGCATACAGTAGCTCTGGGACTGAAGAACAAAGGTTATAATAACCAATAGATAGAAAGCTATACCATTTATTTCTGTAGCATAATTGTGCAGTGCTACAACAGTGGCAGTACGAATTGCAGTAATTAAAGACCTGATTAAAAACATTAAAGCATTAAAATAAAAACCAATACATTAAAGTGAAACTCATGTGGAAAATTAGGGCCACTTCAACACCATATGTAATAAAGAGATGTAGCATCTTGTTCCCAAGAGGAGCGTATTAACTTTAGGTTACATCGTCTGCGCATCTGAAGTGGTAAAGAGCCTTAAATGTGGTCATTGTCATTTCAGCTGGAAGTCTCAAACATGACCGAAATGGACTTAAAATTCATTAACACTCATGGTATGAAATGCCACATAATAGTCCTAAAATGATGTCTTTCATATGTCAACACTAATAACATGTTATTTTAACAGTTTCAGTCGAGTGATTGGTGTTCGAAACGCCGGTGATTGAAGCATACATTTCTTTGCTAAGTTAGTGATTGTTAGCCGTTGAGAGGAGTCGCTAGTCTGTATTCAGTCATCATTAGGAGAGAATAAAACACTTACTGTCAAGTTCAGATAGTTTGAATAAAATAAAATCATCCAGAGTTATGAAAACGTTGTCCTGATGTTTCAAATATACTTTGATGCATTCTGCATCGTTAAAGGCGCCATGAAGCATTAAAAGTGCATTGAACATATTCTGGTGACATTCAAGCAATTCAGTTCTGTGGGAATAACAAACTTGAATGGTATGTTATACGACTACATTATGATTGAACTGATTGTGGTTATTGAAATATACATGTTAAGTAATGATGATAATTCAATTCATATTCTTATTTAAGGTGGAATTTATTAAATTGATACAAAAAGAGTTAAAAGGTAATATGTTACAGGTGAAGAAAGGAAAAAATAAATAGCTTGTTTATTAATGTCAAAACACCAATTGTTGTGATGTATGGTCAGGAATTTATCTCATTGCAAATTAAGTATATCATTAGTTATTGGTTGTGTGTTAGAAAATATTCGAAATTAACAAAAGATGAGAGGATAACATATTTCTCTGCACTATTTGTGTATGTTGTTTTTTTAACTACTAGATAAGAGCTGGAGGATTACGTGATGGCGTGCCAATTTAAACTTTGGACGCTCGTGGAAGCCATGTGGCATTTCTATTCCAAATACAAGATTCAGTGTAAATGTTTTTGTTATTGCTGTAAGACAATAAAACTGTCAGCTGTTTAACTCAATACCATCTCTTCATTTCATACCACTCCCCGAACCTAGGTAGATGTTAGTGTCTCTGTAAGGGTTGTAACAATTTTCCAAACCCACGATTCTATTTGAATTACTGTTTTAAAGTCACTTTTTTCGACTATATATTCAATTGAAACATTTATTTTTCAGCATTGATGCTATGCTATTGATAAACTATGGAGTCTTAAATCCTAGAGATCAACAGATCACTGGTATTATACCCTGACAACTGTAACTTATATTTTCAAATTCTTCTTTGAAAAGATAAGCAACATGGTATCAAGCGTGATGAGACAAAAATAGAGAAAAAATCATTCTCACACCAAAATCTCATAAACCTTCCTCACTTGTCAGTGCTTTATGTGTAAATGCACGTCACCGCTACACTGAACTAAACTGATTCCACTCAAAGCTTGATGTCTGAAGGGACACAAATAAATACCACTGACTCTCTCTAGTGTGAAAGCAGCTAAGCATGTGACTCATGCCGAGGTGGCACCAGCACAGAGTCTCATTCACAAGCTCAAGTGCTTTAATCACATCATTGATAAAGCCAAACATAGTAAAGCAACCAATTTGTGATATCTCGCACAGTTGAATGAATAAGACAGATTTGTTGCCATTCTTGGAGGCGCTGTGTGCATCACCTTGCCTGCTCCTGTTATTTTCTCTGAATTTATAATTGTCAGTGTGGTGGATTGTGGGAGTAGGACAGTGTATGTGCATTTATAAATTAATTAAGCGATATATGCAGCAGGTGGTTTGTTATACTGTACTGCAGATGGTAGCAATTCAGCAAAATGGGCCGTGGTATTCTGTGCTTTTCTTATACTCAATGTCTAATTGTTCCTGCAAGGTTTGCTCCTACATGCTTTAACTTAGATTCACCAAACTCTCCTAACTGATCAAACTTGATGTAAATAGCTCATTTCAGCTTGATGAATGCCATCTGTTTTTCCATTAACGCTAATTTGCTATATATGGTATCCTGTTCTGCTCCATTTGTGGGCGGTTTCATTCACAAGAATGTTACCTCCGTGCTCTAAGGTCAGCTTTCCGGATATCAGCAATCAAATTTAGCAGCATTTGTAGTGGTAAGAGAGGACCCAGAACTATAAGAAGATATTAGAAGTAGGCCGACAGCAGCCAACGACATGTTAGCAGAGCAGTGCTGCACTGCGACAGACATAAAGGGTGAATGCCTGACATGAAGTTAAATGCTAAAAATGTCTTTCTAAAGCCATGATGGGTGAGAAGAATTAGGCTAGAGTACGTGATGTTACAGTGTAACAATGTTAATGTGCAAAAAAGGATGCTGGGCAGAGACCTGCATAAAGAACCTGAGGTAAGACTTTGAGTCCAGAGACCAAGGTTTGCATCCTGAGTCCATTTTGTGGTTAAGATTTGGGAAAGATTTTGGTTCCATGTGGTTCCGTGTTGTCATGAACTCAATTGTAATAGCCTATAAAATCGTCTTAACAGACCGGGCACGGTAAAGTTATGGAGCATGTCTTTAATTTTGGGGAAATCGCTGATTTCCCAGTTGAGATATTTCTCTGCTGGATTCAAAGCTTGAGGGTCTTGGCTGTATTGACCATCAGTAGCAGAGCAAAAAGAAAGAAGAAAAAAGTAAAGTAAAAGGGTCATATTGTACACTAGCAGCAGTTAAAGACTTGTAGCAGTAAAACTGTTTACTTTGCAGTTCATGCATCTCAACTCTGTTCATTCTGACGTTATCCACCATGTCAGCAAAGACTGCCCTCTCAGTGAAACTCATCAAATGAATTACGCAATGAAAAAAATATCTAAATCTGATTAGAAGTATTGAATTATTTCAGTTGTGGCTTCTGTATACAGTCTGTGTCAACAAGACTGGTGTTATTATCAGTGTGCATAGTCCTATCGATACTTTCCAACTCAAAGCTTTAAAAATTGTGCCATGAGTATATATTTTACTTTTTAAGAAAAATCAACCAGCAAATAAGAATTATGTCACAGAGAAATAAACTATATGAGACTTTGGCTTATGAAAAACACTTGTTTTTTGGATAAAGTAATTGCGGGTTGTTTTCAAACACAAATTTATTACCAGGATGATCCATTAACCATTTAAACAGGGCTCCCCTCAAGTACTGTCTTAAGTACAAATTTGAGGTACTTTTACTATAGGTGTGGAAATTTCTCGATTCTAAGATGCATCGCGATGCTGACGTGGACGATTCTGCATCGATGCAGTGAAGAAACATAATTCGTGAGGCTAGTGAAGATTCACACCTCTAACGTTTTCATGAGTATTTCCATATTATAATACCTTATTCCTCTACTCCACAACAATTCAAAGGAAATGTTCAGTCAATTTCATAAATATTGCTTGCTATGGTTTGTTGACAACATTCTAATGAATTATTAAATAAAAGACCTTATAAAGGGATAGAACGGTAGAGCCTGGAGTTAATTTGTTTGAATGCTGATCGAGCACTATTCAAAACAAGCTTTTTCAACAGTTTTTTTGCAGTGTAAGCAAATGGAAGGACTCTAGATATCTTCTTCAGCTTACTCCACTTTGAACTTCTACTACTCCTGCATATGTTCAGCTCCATACGTAATTTCAGCATTAAAAAGATCACAGGTCTTTGAACTATTGAACTTGCACTCTTTCTTCAAACAATCAGTGCCACTTAGTAGCTCAGTGCAGGCCAGTTGCTGTTTTTACTGTTGGTAAATAAAAAAAAACAAAAAAACAGATTTCTTTTAAATCATACACAGTTGATTGAAGAAGTACAGTTTACAGACTTGTGATGTCAAAAGGTCTATAGTTTGTGGGCTTACCAGCATTTTTACCAAGTTTCCTTATCGGGAATAATTCTCGCTTCCGTCCTTCCTTCACTGGGATTCTTCCTCTTTCCTATATTTTATTAAATATCAGCAATATATTTTTCAGTGCCCCCATACTTTTACTCATCTTTCCTTGATGCTGTATCTGAAGTGTCTGAATACTTCTTCCACTGCTGAATATCTCGTATGGTACGAAGATACTTAGCAGGAGCATATTGACCTCTTGGTCCTTAAAAGCTTCACTCCTCCAGTCACTTATTTAAAAAAGCTGTATTGAATAAATCTGCCAATAGTCTGCATACCCTTCTTCCCCAGATCTCATAAAACACTAATGCTGCACGTGGGAGTGAAGATTGACTGTGAAAGTGACGTCCACTAAATGCAGCAGCAGGACAGGCTAATAGAAATGCTGCATTAACAGAAGGAAGGAGGACCACATGACTTTCTCCATATGCTGCTAATATGCTAACATTCATACATAAAACATATCTTAGCTTGTCATTATCATTAGGGTCATTGTCATTCAATAATATAATAATAGTTGTTTGCTGCTATATAAATTATCTGGATGTTGTGCTTTCTCCTATAAGGCTACATTACAGTTTGTCTCCAGTCTTGTTCTGCTTGCTAATGTAGGTGGTGTAGACCATCTGCATGTAGAACACTGCTCATTTTAGGAGAGACCAAACTGTTTTGACTCTGAATTTGTGTCAACATGTTTCTGTAGCACAAATATCCCCTCTAATAGCCTTTAATTGATTAGTGTGTGACAGTCTATTGGTGGTCAATAGTCACACTGGCTTTGCACACAAAGACTAAAGTACAATGAGCTACAACATAAAGCTTTCACATGTTATTCGTCTTAGGAATTTAAATTCCAGCTTTAAATGACTGACGTAAGGACTAATGAAGAAATATTTGCAATGAGCAATGCTCTTTCATTAGCAAATAATTGGTTGTCCCTGGTTACATTTTAAATTGATCAAAGCAAATAGCCCCGAGCCCTGACACGAGTTCTGACACACCATAGAGGCAGCTGTGAACAGAGCTGACGACAATGCTGCAGCTCAACCTACGTACCCGTTGCCCTGATATTTTGACAAGACATATGCAGTGGGAGACATGCATAAATGTCATTTCACTTAAAAAAAAAAATGTAATGACAGGAAGACAATCAACTTTCTACACGCACATAACAAAGCCACAGCCAGATATTGAGCCCACCTAATTAAGCAGACAGGGTTCAAACTGGTGGAAATGCAAGTTTTTCAACCTTGCCTTTTGTCTTAGTTACTGTATTCTTTGACAGCTACTGTCAATAACATGCTGCCTTAAAAACATGTACACAATTGGCCTAATGGGGTCCCGATGGTGTTTTTGTGTCTGTCAGTCAAAAGACTGAACCTTCAATTTTGCCATTTTGGCATGGACGGCACAATACAACTCCCGGCTAATCCAAATATGGGCAATAAGGTGGATCGTTGGTGGAGCTGAGCTGAAAAGCATTTTTTGTACCGGACTGTAAACATGTTAATTTCTGCTGTAAAGTTGGTTTAACACTGAGGTCTGCGGGGATTTGACTCACTTTTGGAGCCAGCCTCAAGTGGCTATTTCAAGAACTGCAGTTTTTGGCACTTCCAAGTTGGTTTCATTGATGAGCGCTGGGGTTTGCCGCTTGGTTTTTACATGCATTGCTGATGATGGGCTGTTGGATGCTTGAGGAAGGCATGATTGCGAATGCGCCTCCATGGCACGCAAATGAATACAGACGGCTGGAATTGACAAAAAAAAAACAAGAGGCGTTGGAGCTCCATTAGCATTAGCATTTATGGTAACGGCTGTATAAAGCAAAGTTTAAGTGAAGATTTTTTCCCTTCTTCGGCTGCTGGTTTAGTGACTTTTGGTTGTAGAGTGATTTGAATCTGTGGAGTCTTAGCTTTGGTTGGCATTATGTAGCCAAATCGCTAGCAGCACTATGAGCTCATGCACCATTGGCGTGTTTTTATGTGTACTTATTCTGTTGCTTGGTGTTGGAATTGGGTTTCGTTAAGGTAAAAATGTTTTTTTGCAGAGAAAAAAGTCTACCTTCTTCCCAGTAGGGGTGTGTATGCAGGATGAATATGTTGCTATACTGCCCGCGGTACGGGAGTGCTCTATTTCAAAAGTTATAAATAATTGTTTCCTTCACACAAGAAAAATGCCTGAGAAGACTTCAAACTGATGTTAAAAACTGATTCAAAACGCTTAATATATACAGTATTTGTATTTATTTAAATATCCATTAGTTCATATGAACTAAATCAATGAATATGTATGCTCGATTTTCACACTGCTAACACTGTTGTATTATTAAAGTGTCTCCATCATGATACTTTTGGCAGTATTTACATATGCTCAGGGACAAAACATCAAAATTGTCAGTGTCTCGTATGAATTACAATCAGCACTAACATGCAGGGTTGCAGAGCAGAGCAAAACTCATTTGATTCACGTAGGCTCGGCCCAACACTTTAATCTCTTGTTTTAAATCACTACAACATCATTCATTTTAACATCATCTTGTACTGATTCAGTGATTTCCTAATTAGGATACAGGTTTTTTTCCTCCACCACACAACCTTCCTGAATACTCAAACTATTTTGTGTATTTAGTGTCAGATACATTTGAAAACATCATGTAAACAGTGTATGTTGGATTATAATGTTGGTGTAACTTCTTCCAGTATATTGCATCCACATGACACCACAAGAGAGACCTACAATAGACTGAAATCCCTGCATTCTTCTGCAGTCTGGCACAATGAACTGAAAATGTCTTGTGACTGACCACTTAAGTTAAAATGTAGCATCACATATCCTGCTGACTGTAATTTTTGGAGTGTACAACACTACGAGGCTACAAATAAACACAAATTAAGATTAGAAGAAAATCCACTTGATTGTGAACTGCAACATTAGACCTCCTATAGATCAGATTATATATACTGTAGGTGTTGTTTCAAAGGACTAAATGAGTCTGGACACCATGCTACTCTATAGTGAAAAACATAGTTGCCTGTTAAAAAGCTTTACTGGATTGATTGGATTTGATCAGCCATGTATGACATGTAAATGTACCCGTGTAGAGGTTACCATAGCGCTAAAGGCTATGTAAGGAGAAGAAGGAGGTTGATCTAATGTGAACAGTTGGATGTCTGGCGGGAACTTCAGCCTGTTAGTTGTGAATATTGATGTGACAAGAAGAGGGAGAGTCACAGTCAGGAGACTGAATTACTTCTATTGTCGGTGCACTGTGAGGAGGATTTAAGCACAAAGACTCACAAAATGTAACAGTGGTGGAAAACTCATCAGGTGGAGGTGACGCTGAACTGTGTGGCCTGAAAAGAGTGTCTTATTGTAAACATGCTGCCCTGCAATATTTCAATATCCTGTTCTTTCTTTGAAATGCTGCTGACAAAAGATCATCTGAAGGGTCATGGAAGATAAAGGTACACAACGTGCGCTGACTGATTACTGCATGTGGGCCACTGCGAAGAGAGACGGCGTGGTTCATCTGTTATTCATGAAGTTTAATACAGGAGCCACAACAATCAATCAATCTATTTCACCATGTAGCCACTTGTGCGTCACTAAGTGCGCACGGCGCCCTGCCTGTTGCTGGAGGAGAGAGGCTGTGCGCGCTCACACTCGCATTCAACAGGCGCTGAAGGATACTAGTGTTTCACCGCGTTTTTATTTGTAGACATGTTACTGTATGCTGACACGTGCGGAACTGTTGGAGACATTCACTGTGGTGATCTGGAGATCTGTGTTTTTAAGGGATGGTGAGGTGCTTAAGTTGCGCGCTATGGTTCATATACGCAATCCTCTCTCACCATTCTAGCTTTTGCACCTCGGTGAGTAGATCACACTCGTGAAACGACCGACGCATTCGCTATAATCGGCGGGGAAAAGGAGACAAGGATGGCAGCTGCACATAATGGATCCAACATAACGGCAAACCACACCAACCAGTTTGTGCAGCCGCCGTGGCGCGTCGCTCTCTGGTCCGTAGCCTACAGTTCCGTGCTGGCGGTGGCAGTGTTTGGAAACCTCATCGTGATATGGATCATTCTTGCCCACAAGCGTATGAGGACGGTGACGAACTACTTTCTCTTAAACCTGGCGTTTTCGGACGCGTCAATGGCCGCGTTTAACACTTTGATAAACTTTATCTACGCTACCCACGGGGAGTGGTACTTCGGGGAAGCGTACTGCAAATTCCACAACTTCTTCCCGGTCACATCCGTGTTTGCAAGCATCTACTCCATGACTGCGTTAGCTGTTGACAGGTGGGCATATGAAATGCTGCAAGAACCATATTTAGTGAATGAAAGCTAAATAAAGCTCAATCGTTCTCTCTCTCTCTCTCTCTCTCTCTCTCTCTCTCTCTCTCTCTCTCTCGCTCTCTCTCTCTCTCTCTCTCTGTAGATGATCAGTTACGTGTTTTTTTTTATACAAAATAATAATAATAATATAGTCATTTTAGATTCTTCTTATATGCATCTGTATTGCAGAAAAAAGGGGAGCAGCAATAAAGCCATTGAGGTAAAATATCTATTGTAATGCAGACTACATTCAACACACCTGAACATGAACATGAATATTTCAAGCTGGCGTGTAAAAAAAAGTCCTTAACCGAAACACTTTCATCTCAAGTGCTTCACACACGATGTTTTGGAGATCTTGTTTCTAATTATTCCACCAGCAGCGATCGAAAATGTAATCATCTGCTTTAAACTCACATCTGTATTGTTTCTATATAGCTAGAAAACAAACTGCACTCCATTCGGCAATGCTTGTGCAGGTCATTTGATGTTCTACTTTGTGCCCTCATGCTCAAGAACTTACTTATGGAGTCAGTTCAATTTATATTTACAATACATTATGTAGGCATTGTCCCGAAACTATTTTATCATCAGAGTTTATGCCCCCTGCTGATTTCAGTACATTTATTTCAGCTCCCAGTGGAGGGTGATAATTACGTGTTTGTGAATCGCATTCTGGAAAGGCGGTGTCCCAGCGGGACGCCATCTCGTCCACCATGATCCTGTTACACACATTTATTTTTACGTTTCACAGCCAATGAATCACAAAGTAAAGCTGTTTTTGCAAGAATCTGCAATGCAGTGAATGGCTCTTCGTGTGCCAACACCCATGTTATTACGCTATCTGACTCTCTTGTTTTCTGTCAGATGCATTCATATTATTTATCTCTTTTGCTCTTTCGCACCTCTTTCTTTTTTTGTTCCTCCATCTCTTTCTCTTTCCCTGCCCCTGTTGTTTCCAGTAATGTGGTGATGCAGTCGAGCTATCAGCCGTGCTTTGATACTGATAAGTGGACCGTCATAATGTTTGAATTAAGGGATTAGATTGATGAAGGAAGCGGCCACAGGCCAAACATAATGAAAACTAAATGGGTGGAGAAGTTGCATGCAGGCACAGTGTGTCTACAGCTAGTGCACAGTGTGTGAGGTGTTTTCTCCTTGACACACAGGGAGCAATGCATTTCCTGAGGCCTTGATCATTTTGGCTCCTCTACAGCAACTTCCATGAGTTTGTATTTTCGGTCTGCTGTGTCTATTTGATTCTGTCAACGGTGTACTGAGAAAGAGAACATCGGCGTGACCCACATGATGTAGATGTAACCTCAGGTCATGCTTTTCGTAACCCCAGTATGTTGCTGTCTCCGCTCTGTCTAGAAATGGCATGAGGCCACAGTTCGTGATCATCAGTGAATTCATCCTTCCTGTTGACTCTGTACTGCCAAGTGTGTTTCCTTAGGTACTGGAGCCAAACAAACGCAGATTGGTGTGTGAAAGGTAACTGGCGAAGCCTTGAAGCTTTTTGTGATGACACGGCTCGTGCCTTTTTCCATTACTCACACCTTTGTAGAATACAGTCTTATCATTGGGTCTTCAACGGTAGTGGCATATACTGTATGTATATGTACACATCAGAATATTAAGTGATATTTCAGTTCACTATACTCGTTCCGATATTGGTTTCATTTGACCAGTTTTTGAGGTATCAATCCATGAGATTTCTGCATCCACCCCAATTCAACGTAGGTTAATTAAAAAAATTCAACAACAGCAGTGTCTTTCCTAAGACAATGGGCCTCATACAAGAACCTCTCGTACAGACAGATTCGTTCTTAACTGGCTTGTTCGAGTGATTCAGAACTTGTCGCATTCACCAATTTTCTGGTATTTTGAATTTTGTCTTGAGTACGAACACAATATTTCAAGTGGTACAGACCTATCGTAGGAGTCATTTGCATTTAAAACTTTCATTCGTTCAAACTAAACCAAAACTATCTGCATGGAAATATAAAATCAGAACTGACCATTTAAGTATTTTCTAAGATGCTGTGAAGTGAAAGTGTCTGAAACATTAAACAAACTCCTCACCTCTGAGCCAGTACTTGACATTTAGTTGTACGCATAATGTGGGGATACTTCACGCCGTAAATCTCATCCAATGTAATCTCTACTCGTGAAACACCAGGCGATGATAAAGTGAGTGTTTAGTTGGTCACACACCGGTGACATGGCTTCCAAACAATATGTGGTCTGAAAGCTTTCACACAGCTTGAGACAGAGCAGACCCCCATGTTGAACAAAAAATATATTGTAAAAATATTTATTAATTTGCAGCTGTAATGTCTCTCTTATTGTGCCCAGTTGATGCTGACACCTCTGTAAATGTGCTTTGATGTGTATACTTGGCTACCAAAGAGGAGTGCGTGTGTAATAACGTTATTCAAGTGTGGCTGGCTTTGCATTGTGGTTATTGTTCAGTGGTTACAAGTCTACTATATCAACCACCGTTGGATCCCAAATAACACACACTGTTGTGGCACATACTTGATTGGACATCTGACAATCTATTCACACAGTGCCAACCACAAGAATTAGCTAGACACAGAATAAATGCCAAGCAATTACTGGTGAATAGACGGGGCACCTTTGCTGTTGGCCCTCAGAGAGTAATAGGACAAGAAGCATTCTTTACCATCTTATGAAGATTGAATTAGCGCCTCTAAGCCTACGTTAATCATGTAGCATCCTGAGTTGAGTTCGTGTTCAGCTGGTAATCTCCTGCCAGTTCTGAGTGCGCCACTGTGTGGTTCAAACTAAATCTCATCACAGTTTTTTGGAATGAATCGTCCTTCAATTTCCCTGAAAATCAGACACCACAGGCTAATTGGACTTTTACGGGCGGACAGGCAGAAAATAGTAAAATGTAGAGACATTTTTTTTATCGTTTTTAGGCCAGAAAATGACATTCAAACATAATCACATACAACAGTGCTTTCCAATATATATTTATGTTGCACCCATTGGTTTGTGGACCGCTGTTTTTAAGCCTTGAGTTTGACATTTTGGCCGTCACCATTTTGTTTTTTTACAACCAGTGAACGGAAGTGACAATATTTGGACTGGGAAGAAGTGACATAGAGATGCTGCATATGGCTCTGGTAGTGATAGTGACCTGTCAATCACAGGGTAGCCACTCCCTAAAGTATAACCTGCTTTATTGTCTATTTCAAAACTTGCGATTGAGACCATGAACTCATATTTACAATGTTTACTGAGGTAATAAATGTAGTGAGAAGTAGGGTCATTTTCTCATAGACTTCCATACAATCAGACTTCTTTTTGTAAACAGAGGAGTGACCCCCTCCTGGCTATTAGAAAGAATGCAAGTTTAAGGAACTTCCTCATTGGCTTCACTTTACAGAATCGAAGGTTGCCACTTGTGAAATGACCCGGTAGTGTCTAAGTGGCAGCCATGATAAGAGCTGTTCAAATTTCTCATTACAGCTGTGTGTCACGCCTCTTTTATTTGTTTACGTGTGCTGAAAACACTTTCGCAAAGGAAGTTTCCTTGCTCATAGCTTCTCCGGCAAGCCTCCTTGATCCTCCATTTTAGGAATTGGAATGCTGAGATCAACTTCTGGATCACAAGCTGGAGAATTAAGGAGCGAGGAATCGAGTTGGCACAAAATCGTGAAATGAGAAAGACTCTGGGTACATCCGAAGTCTCTTATTTGTCATTTCCTTGCTCCTCGATCCTTGAACCGGATCGTTGTTCTGCTCCACCATCTTGACGGCTGTTCCAAAGCTCTTGTTTCTGCTCTGAGGAGCGAGGAGTCAAGAGGGATCGAGGAGGAGCCATGAGCAAGGATACAAGACAGCAGCCTTCACAGAAGTGTTTTAACGGCCGACACGCCCCCCTCATTGTTTATCAATTATTTGATTAGACGCTGTAGCTGATCACGCTGGTCTGATATTTCAACATCATACCAGAGTGGAGAGAAAATCACTGATTAAACTCAAGTGTATCACTCCCAAGTTCTATAGATTTCACTTCACGCGACGCTTCAGAGGAAATGACGTCTCATTTCTCTTAAAAATGATTTCCTCGGTTCCTCTCTCCTTGCATGGTTTCCTTGCGTCTCGCCATGCATCCCTAGTGCAAGTCAGGGAAACGTTAATGCAATGATACAATTAAGAGACATGGGAGGTACCCCCAGATTCTCACTCAAGCCACAGTGTTTATCGGAATACACATATTTGATTGGCAGAGTAGTGTCACGTGAGAAGATTTACAATGCATGCAATTGGTGGGTGTCTTACCTGGACCGCTGAACGAGTACCGTAGAGTCTAAAAAACCTGCGCTGGTTAAAATAGAAGCACTCCGTCAAAATTGAATAATTCTTAATTACCTTTCCGATGTACTTTTTTAACTTTTCGACCACAGCCAGAGACTTTTCATTGACATTTTCTCTTTCCCCTTTTTCCATTATCTCAATGTCACAACCATCAACACACCTGCTTCCACTTCCTTCATCTGCTCAACAGGTCTTCCCCACCCGCCTCCTCACCTGCCTCTTATTGTCTAATGAGTCACTCACTACATATAGAGGTCCACTTCATTTGATCCTTTGTCAGATTATCATCATTGCTGTTTGGAGTTTTGTTACCTACTACCTAGCCTGTTACCCTCCCGTTGTTACCTGTGTTTGGTCTCACTGCCTGCAAGCCTTTTTTCTTAGTAAGTGATTGAACTTCACCAGTGTGCCTGTCCTAATCTGTGTTTGGGTCTTTCTTCAAAAAACATTCGAAAGCCTCAATAGAAACTTTGAATGTAAAAAAATGTAGATTCCCTAGCGAAATTACTCTTTATTTGAGCAGCTCAGAACAAGTCATTATCACAAGTATATGTTACTTTATTTTGTTACATATACTTGTGTTAGATGCCAAAAAGTGTGATGGAAAACTGCCACAAAAATTAAAACAATCATTCAATGATTTAATCAGTTGTTGAGGCTTTAAACACAAGTCTGTCTTTATAACCTCCTGACCTCTGACCTGTAGGTACATGGCCATCATCCATCCTCTGAAGCCTCGTTTGTCGGCGAAGGCCACCACAGGAGTTATCGTCTGTATCTGGAGTCTAGCCGTGGTTCTGGCCTTCCCTCTCTGCTACTTCTCCACCACCCGAACTCTGCCCCGCAGGACCCTCTGCTACGTGGCCTGGCCCCGCATGGCCGACGACCCCTTCATGTGAGAAATACTTTGGAACTTGCTGTTAATTGTTTTGATACCAGACAGCGTAGCTCAGTCCTTTCCACTTAAGCCAACTGTTGCGGATGCTTTGTCTAAGTTCAAATGTGGATCATTTTAACAGGTTCCTCCATACAAGTTAATTATAATATTATCCAGATATAACTTAGAATGTACACACAGGTGTAACCTTTAAGTCATTCCTTGTGAACTTTCATAGACAAATGTTTGAAACTAATGTTATTAATTTAACGAGCAGCACATTGCCTGTGACGGACCACATCCCTTCACATTCATGTTGACAGTTACATACACACACAGTATTGGCTGCATTGTTACCATTATTTGAAATAGATGAGGACATGAGTTGCTTGTACTGTAAAAGAAAATTATATTCAACAAGTTGAAAGTTTTTGTTGATATTTTTCTAATTTATATATATATGCTCAACCTGGGTAGAATATAAAAACTACTGTGTATTAAATGATATTGTATAACTATTTTATAAATGTAAACACTTATGCCTTTCCTCATTCTTTTCTTCCTAGGTATCATATCATAGTGACAGTTCTGGTCTACGTGCTGCCCTTAGTGGTGATGGGCATCACTTACACCATCGTGGGGCTGACTCTGTGGGGAGGGGAGATACCAGGAGACTCATCTGATAACTATCACGGACAGCTCAGGGCTAAAAGGAAGGTAAGCATGCTTGAGCGGAAACGGTGGGCCCTTCCTTCAAGAATTCAGATATTGACCCGCGGTGGCCCACTTAGTAACTGTGAACAGGATCTTTGAATCAAAGTCAGAGACCCAGGAATAATCTATAATGTTCTGCCACAGAACAGCCTTGGGCTCCAGGTAATTGTTATCTCAATTCTGGGAATAGGAATAGGAAGTGGATCATCTGATCTTTTTTTTTTAAACTGAAAGGCATTCAAAAAGCATCTCCCTAGAGCAATTATCCATCTTATTGTTACTGTATACCTTTAGGATTTAGTTTCTGTCTCTGTTCATTTTGTTGCTGTGGCAAACACATTTATTATCTGATGGTGAAATCCCAGACCACCCCCAAATCTAATTAAATGTAATAAATTAATTAACTAAGTGAATCCTGCTGATAAACAACCTGGTACGAATATAACATCACTGGTAGAGATAACAAGGTTATTCGATACAGCAAAATATGTTGTACAATTTAACCCTTTAATATAGAAAATATTAATATTTAACACCTTTTAAATGAACCTATATACTCCCTGTAAGCTTTCTGTTGTGTTGTTCAATCACTGGAACTATACTGTTTCTGCTTTGAATATGATTGGAAATTGTGTTTGATATGTATTGCACATGAAGCAGGACTATTAAGATAAAACATAAAAATAGTAGAACACTGGGCTCTTTAAAAGAAAAGAAAAATAGGAATATTACATTTGATTCCCATTAAGCTCCACGATTAGTAATATTGTGTAGATTTGCTTTAAGTTTGAATAAAAAAGATTCTATAAATCTTACACTTAAAAGTGAGAACAGCATATTGCATTGATCAAGAATAATGACTTTTGTCTTCTGTATGCGTGTGTAGCCGGTGAACATGGTGCACTGTGAACATTTCAGGGAGGAAAAGCTTAATTCTACAGAACACAACCTTTGTAGTTGTCTCTTGTCCTCAATCAACTCTTTGTCCGTGAACACGGACAAGCTCTGAAAACCAACAGTGTCTCGAGGCATTATGACTTCCTCCGCACTTTGGAAGACATCGAGGCCTTTTTGTCTCATGGGCTCATTCAAGACATGCTTGGTCTATGGGGAGTCAAGGGAAAAGGAGTATTTGTGTGTGTGTGTGTGTGTGTGTGTGTGTGTGTGTGTGTGTGTGTGTGCGTGCACAGGATAATTCATCCCTCTGTTTCACTGGGATATTTCAAACAGCCTTAATTTAGTTGTGATTTCAGTGGCACTTTCAAAATGCAGTTTGCATTTTTTGTGTATGTAAAGTCTGAATTATAACTTGAGCTGAAGCATGTTTTTCTCTCAAACTCCACCTTGTCGCCGTCACTGGTTTACATGGTACAGTGTGTTTTTCTTAGGCATGAATGTCATGCGGGTTGAGAGTGTTGTGCTTGCAGACTCTGGTCAGAAAAGGTTACAGAAAGGAGAGAACATTGCCCATGGCAACAGTGTTAAGCATCACTACTAGCTGACTCAGAAGCCATTGTTTTTACTGTTCTCCAGACAAAAATCCAGTTAGGAGAAAAAAGCAATGCATGGCAAATCATTTAGCTGTTTTTAGGTGATATTTAATTAGCAGTAGCCAAAGCAGGCTGTCATCAAGTGTATACAGTACTTTATACTACTAGTATATCGTGTGGCATTGAAATATTTTCAGTATTTTCAGGCCAGGCCTTAATCACCAAGCTTCAGTAACCACCAGATTGTCATAATTGCGTCTCAGTGTCTCTGAGTTTATTTAAGTAAATTTAAAGAGCTGGGTCACTCACAAGGTTTTTTGATCTCAAGATATAATAAAGGTGAATGTAATAAAAAAAACATGCATTTAAAAGACTCAACAGCAATGTTTTAAAGGATCTCTATACACTATTCAGAGCATTAATATAGCAATATAGCAGCATACATCTATTAGCTGTAAAGATATAGTAAAGTATTGTCCACCTGAGCAGAGGATAAAGTTGCTCTTCTCGTGTGTGTGTGTGTGTGTGTGTGTGTGTGTTTGTGTTATAATCCTTGCGTCTCTGTGCTTTGTTTACATAGCCATGGAGTGTATTGAAGAGTGTATTGTGCATCTTCAAAAGAAGCTGTAACCCACATAAGGAATTGACAGAGTAATTCGTTTTTTGTGGATGGTATGAAAGTGGCAAAGGTCACTGCAATGAAATGATTAAATTGAAGTAAAGAAGAAGAAAGTGGTGATTTCATACAAAAACAACCCATGAACAGTGTTATTATTTCTCAAGATTATCCAGTGTGTCCCCTTTAATGATACATTTCTTGTGCAGCCATCACAGGTCTGTGAGGTGATAGGAAGCAATAAAAAGCAATAATAATTTTTCATCATCTTTATTGCTACTCAGACTGACTAGACTAGGGGTAGTCAATTCAAATTCAGCGAGGTCGAGTTAAAGAGAATTTACTCATGCAAAGGTCCGGAACATTAAAATAATGTCTTAACTTGTGCTATGATTTAGTCCCATATATATTGAAGTAGCCAATCAGTTGTATTAACGTCTGTATGTAGTCAACAGCTGACTGTCAAATCAAATAAAGAAAGTTCAATTGAATAATATCTCAACAATATTTATTGTCAGATTTAAAATTTAACTGGTTAAATTATAAAAAATACATCCTCGAATAATAAATATATGTTCTTCTCTCATTTCAAGTATAACATGGGCTGGATTATACAATACATTACAGAAAGCTTTGAAAAATGTGACTCTTAAAATACAGCACTTCATTTTAGAAAAATGTATTTAACTGAATCGTCTTTGCCCTGCAGCTTTAAATTCAGTTAATTCAGGTGTGAGGTGGTCAATCAAAAAAAACACGATACTATATTCTTCTCATCTTCTAAAAAGAGAAATTTGTGTGCAGGGACTTTATCTGTGGTTATTAAAACCTCTTGTTTCAGCTCTATTCTACGCTTTGTTTACATCATTTTTGAGCAGTGAATTCATGTGTTAGGATTCTGATTATATTGGGCTCTTAGATTGTTTATTTTCTGTGCTTTCATTTTGGATGTGAGTGGGTACGTTTGCTCAAAAGATTTGTGCTTTGTCACCTAGTGGGGCTTCACATTGCCTCTTTTAAAAACACCACAGTCTCTGAACATGTGAGACACACTGGGTTTTAAATACCCATAGGAAGAATGAAGATATAAGAGTCTGTCTATTCTTGGTTAAAGGCTCTGGTTTCGTTGTCCACATTTCTCTTTTTGGAGCCAACATGTGAAATAACGTTTCTGACTCGCGTACTTCTCTGATAGTTTGGTCTCTCTCCCCGTCTCTCTCCCGTGTGTGTATATGTCACTGGAGTTACGACGCTTATCGGAATACACATATTTGATTGGCTGAGTAGCATCACGTGATTTACAACGCATGTAATTGATCGGTGTGTTTCCTGGAAAGCTGAACAAGTGGCGTAAAAGCTGCACCGGTTAAAATAGAAGCGCTCTGTTAAAATGTAATAATTATCAATTATCCATCCGGTTATAGGTCCAGGTCCGGATACAACGCGTCTGGGTCCGGAACCGGACCGGACCGCGGTCTGCCTATTTTTGACCCCTGGACTAGAACATTGTTTTGAGTTAATCCATTCTTCCGCAATGATCATGCTGCAGCTGGTGAGTTCTGAGCTCATGCCTGTGGCTGTGCGTTCGAAATGTCAGTCTGTGACTAATGACCTGTCATGAGTCTGCCATGTGGCTATCTAAGGCAATCTGTGTTGTGTTGTAAGCACCATCGATCATCCATCTTGAAGTGTGTGTGTGTGTGTGTGTGTGTGTGTGTGTGTGTGTGTGTGTGTGTGTGTGTGTGTGTGTGTGTGTGAAGCTTGGGATGGATTACCTCTACAAGATCAGATTTTTCCAAAAATGAAGTACAACAGTGCAGGATATGTGAGTGTCATGCTAACTTGCAGAGATAACCGGACAGTTCTTATCGTGGCGGGACAGGTGTCAATAGATCAGTCTGCATGAGAGAGATGAGTGTGGGTGTGCACAGCCAAGTGCACAGGCTTGAGTCATAATGATAATCACAATAGAATCTATTTATTTAGGGTCATTCACCAAGTCACGCTATAACACAACAGGAGTTGGCTGCTTTCTTTCTGTGACTACAGTCACATGAACTCCCGCAGTCTCGCTTCACACCAGTGATTGTCTAAACTTTGACAGTGATTGTCTTACACTCATGTGCAAGCCATTCTTGTATAAAAGTTTTTTGCTTTTTTCAGACCCCCGACTGCTTTCTTATTCTTTCTTGCAATGGATTTTAATGACTCGCTCCAAAGAGCATCACTGTCTCCTGGGAAAAAAGGCTTAGTGCAGGTTATTGAAAAGTAAGTAAGTAGGGCATCATACAGTATGTTTCGTATTTGCTTTTGCAAATTAGTAGTATACAGTTTACATAATTAGGAGGAGGTTGGTTCACTAGAAAGGATATTTTCAGTCCATGAAGTGTTACACTGTTGTGATACACAGACGTTGTAGATGGTGGGCATACCGTAAAAAGCACAGAAAACAAATGAAATCACTCTCTTCCTCTGATTTGTTTTCTCTTTCTTTCCTCTTCACCTTTTGTTTTAGCTAAATCAAGCTGATGTTTGTTCTTATTGTATCAAATTAAAAATTTTAGGATTATTCTGGCTTCAACCTAACTAATGAGTAGTCATCTAATGGAGTAATGAAGAAAAATGCTGGGGCAAGCAAGGCAAGGCAAGTTTATTTGTATAGCACATTTCAACAACAAGGTAATTCAAAGTGCTCCACATAAAACCATTAAAAGCATCAAAACATAAGGCAAAAGAAAAGGAGATTTAAAAACAATTAGGAACATTCATTGAAACATTACAAACAGTCATTAAAACACTAAAAAGCAGTGTAAGAAATAAAATACAGTAGTAAAATACAGAAATGCAGGAGATTGATTAATATCCTTGAATCTGGTTCAATTAAAGGCAGCAGCAAA